TTAATTTAATTTCATTAACTCCCTTCCTGCCTTTTGCATTATAGTTTTTATGTATTTTAATTCTACATAAAATGTAAGGCCTGTAAACATTATTATCATTTTTATTATTATGAAATTTACCCATACATTTTTTCAGTTCCCCCTCCATCCTGTTTTTTTTTTATTGTCTTTATGATCACTTACCTTTTGCCTAATAACTCATCCTAATATTTCCTTTCTATTTAGCTTTTCTGGGGAAGCATTCTCTCAGATTTTGTTTGTCTGAAAGTGGATTAATTGTGTCTTTAATATCAATGGACATACTTCTAATTTAGAAGTTAGTTTGATTTAGAATTTTTAGGATATCATTTCAATTTTCTTCTAACATTATTTTAGTTGAATGACATCAGGTTTCTTATATTGCTCTTTTAAAAGTATTGTGGAATTTAGTCTGGCAGATTCTTAGATTTTTAAGGAGTGCGGGTCATATTTTTCAGCAGTCTTACTACAACATATCTGATTTGTTTTGTTTTGTTTTCTCCTTTTTCTTTTTTAATCTCTTCTGGGGTTCATTGAGTATCTTGATTCTGTGGCTTATTATTTCCTTTAGTTTTTTTTTTTTTTAATTATTAAGTCTCCACCAGTATCTTTTCAAATACTGCTTCTTATTCATTTTTGCTTACCTTATCATGTTCAATATGTCCCTAATGATCTATTTAATATCCTTCATCCCTGTGTTTATTTTCATATTACAGGCCAGATATTTCCAAGTGATCTATCTTCTATGATTAAACCACCTATTGAGTTCTTAATTTAAGTTTTTATACTTTCCACATTTTCAAATTTCCATTTATTTTCTTAACATATTGATTCCAGCTATATTAAATTTTTCCATTTTGTCACTGATTTTCATAATACCTACACAAAAAAATCAGTGTCAGAGTCAACTGTGACTATGTTTCTATATTCTGATTTTATTATCTCAATTTTCTTCATTTTGCACATTGTCTGCATATCTGATTTTTTAAATGAATTTCAGACAATATGATTGAAAACTTGTAGAGGCTCTAGATGATGTCGGTTCTTGAGGGCATTTTACTTTTATGTTGTTAGGCAGTTACAATAAGGGCAGGTCAACTGAATCTAATTAAGGATTTAGATAAGTCCATGCTGGATTTCAATGTTAACCTTTCAAAATAAAGCCTGGTAATCTCCTTCACCATAGTAATCATTTTACTATCTATATGTACCTTATAACATCATGTTGTAAACTTCAGATATTAACACAATAATATCTATTTAAAAAATAAATAAAAATAAAGCCTGATCTATTTCAGTTTGTCCTTAGTCCTATGGTGCTTTTCTTCAGAGATCTCAAATTAAAGTATATTTGGTAGTTTTGATCTCTGATTTTTGACTCTATCATCATGAGATTGCCAAAAGCTCTCTTTCTAGATATCTTAACCATTGGCTTCCGCTTTCTGTTCAGTTTTTAGCCTCTATGTCAATCCTTCTTCGGAGTTCACAAACCTCTCAAGAGGAAAGTTGTATAAAATGTCAGGCTTACTTGTTTTCCTTTTCCCCAGGATCTTGGCTACTCAAGGCATGGCAGCTTTGGGATCTCTAAATTCCAATTCCCTCCACGCCCCATCCCCTACTGCTCTGTGAGACAGGGAAAAGGAGTAGAGCACGGCAGGTTTACCATTTACCTCAATGCATTTCTTTCTTTTTCAAGATCATAGTCTCTCAAGCTTTGGCTTATCTTAGTTCATTTCTATTATCTTCAAAGGGCTATTTATTGATTTATCCAGCTTTTCTATCTGCTCTTGGTTGAAGACTGGTCTGATTCAATGTGCTCCATTATAGTCAGAAGTAGAAGCTCTTCAAATTGGTTTTTGTTCTTTGTGATTCTTCCAATCTATAGCACTGATAAACCATTTGTATATGAATCTGGAATCTGTAGGTATATTTGCCTCACATCTCGCTACTTAACTCCCACTGTGGCTTGAACAATCTCGTTTTGAAAAAGACATCCTGAGGCTTTCTTTGGATTTAGGTAATGAGGAACATGTGAGGAATACCCACTTCCCACAGTCTTATTACTATTACCTGCTCCATCCAAAGCAGGGTGAATTTCTGCAGGAAGTAGGACATTTATTATCCCCTCAAGGTTTTGCCTCTTTCTCTCCCCATGTCTTCTGCAGAACAAAGGACTTCCTTAATGATCTTTACTATATATGGAAATTTTATATTAGACATATTCACTGTCACTCTGGGGCAGTATTGAAGTATAGATAGATTTTCCTCTGTGTTTTCATTAGCTTGATCCATTGAGGTTTTTGACCTCAGAAAATGAGATGTGAGTTGGTTGGTACTATATTTTGCCTATATTATGAGATGCAGTGGATAGTACCTGACTCTTTATAACCACTAGTAACCATATACTTGAACTTTAAAAGCTGGGGAGGTATGTATGGGTGACAGCAACAGTTCTCCATTTGATTTTACTAAAAACAACATTTTTTTTAAGAAACAACATTTTTTTAAATCAATGGGACATCAAAAAAAATAAACAACAAAATTGTCCAGTTTTCTTTACACTAGATGGATTTTTGAATAGGAAGTATTTGTTTTTTCTACAGATGGGTTTATATTTTGATAGTCTAAGGCATATTATTTAGTCATCCAAATATATGCCCATCAAAAATTCCATTGTGTCACCTGTAGTTAAGAGTGATCAAATATATAAAGCAATCCATTTGAATACTCCATTTATGAGGTGAAAGAAAATGAAGCACAAATCCAAAATTTTCCTCTTTAGAACATCACACCCTTCTTTAAATTTTGTAAATTATATCCCTTTCTATAAATCTATTTCCAAGCAAAATGGATGCCCTGACTTTAAAGCTTTGTAGGATCCTCTTGACCTAGCAATAAATGCCTAGAAATCAGTACTGACTGTTTCCTAGCAACAAATTAAATATTAGCATAGTCTTGATAGTCACATGGTCTTCTCACCTCAGAAAACTGTTCATTAAGGTCAAGGGTAATTAACACTTCAGATAATAACAGAGACCCCTAGTCATAGTTGATAACTATTCCTGTAAATGTCATCAGATCAGTTATAGGAAACAGGCTGTTTATGATCTCACTCACAGCTACTTATCATATGGAGTTGTTTGTGTATAATCATAGTGAATCACAGCAATTTTTTCTCACGGCCACACTCTAACCAGCAATTGCCAAATACTAATATAGCATTTGGGGTAGGGCCAAATGAGTAATTTCTCCCCTTTAGATCTATCAGTGTGTGAAGGTTTTCACGTGGTGAGCCACAGCATAATAAAATCTAATTGGAAAAAGTACTTGAGAAAGAAAACTACAAAGTGGTATCCCATGGGTAAAATCTATTTGTGTACTAAAACATCCTTTGTTTGGTCAAATGCAAACTTCCTTCTGGGGCCTGTCTTGGATCCATTAGTTCCCAAATTTCAATTCAACTGAATAGCAATGAACTGAAAACAACCTGCAATTTCCTGGAACCTCAAAATAAAGTGAAATCAAACAACTTGATTTTGATAATGGAAAAACACTTTCTTGCTCCTAAGGAATGAGTCAAATGAAGTGTTACAAGAAATCCATTGTGTGTCTGTCTGCTTTCCAGTGAACCATATATAGAAAAATATTTTAACCAATCAATTTCACATGCATTTAAGCCCATTCTATTAGAACTAATGCACTGTCCAAGAACTGCCAAAAGTAATTTATGACATTATCACAAATGAGAATTATAAAAGCCTAAGATAGGAAATCTTAAATAAAGAATAAAACAGTGCTAAATTTTAATATTGAGGAAGAGGGAGGTAACATGTAATATGTACTCTTTTCTTACCTAAAGTAAGTCCTATGGGCAATATATGTAACCTTAATACTTGTACCCCAATAATACGTTAAAATAAAAAAAAATAAATAAAGTAAGTACTAAAAGAAGTGAAGATGAAAACAGAGACTCACACCTAACTTTGAACAATCAATGTAATGAATCCATTGAATGTGACAAAGTGTTTGCACATACCCATTCCATGGGTAACAGGAACTGGAAATATAACTGGTAAGTAATTCAATATCTAATTTTTTTCCTTAAAATTTGTGGTTATATTTTCCTTACTAGGACTCTTTTCTTCTTTAAACAACAAAAGTGAATTGACTATTTTTATTAAAAAGGCTTACAGATATTTATATCTTATATCCAACAATTAATTTTCTTTTTCAACAACAGCAGTAATAAAAATACAATGGTCTTTAACAAGTATCGCACCTCTATTCCTTTTTGAAACCATTTTTCCCCCTACATATTAAGGTACACCTTAACATTTAGATGGTTAATTACTGAATGCAATACTTTTCCATTAAACCTGCAATATAGTATGTTTTCTTGTTAGTCCAATCAAACATTTTTGTACACATAGAAGTTACAGCAATTAATAACGCTTCTAAAATAATCCCCAGCTAAAATTATTAAAAGACTAGTTTACAGAAGACAATCTTTATATAATTTCTGCATAAAATTTCTATATAATTTCTTTAATTTTACAGTATCACAAAAATAAAATATCTGGGCACTGAAATAAAATTCAAATGATATAAACCAAAAAATGAACTACCATAAAAAATGATATACCATGTTCCTCTGAATTATGATGAGAATATTCCATTAAAAGTTTGACAAAAATATCTACATGGAGACATTTTTAGTATAAGCAAAATGCATAATTAATAGGTTCCAAAGGATAAATCTCAATTCAAAAAATCAATAATATGCCTCAAATGGGATATTTACCCTAAAATGTGATATTATAATTTCTGTATTTTAATTAGAAAAGTAATGAAAAAAATCATGATAAGCTAAATATGTATGCTACTTAATGACCATTGTAACACATACAGCATTTCAGGTTCATAAAAGTGGAAGCTCAAAACCCTAGAGAAAAGGCATTTCGTATAAAAGAAAGGCACATTACCTTTTATTTCGTGTTGGCTTGCTTCCCGTCTTCTTTCTAGTTCTTTTCTGTCATAATTTAACCTCTTTAAGCACATAATTCCATACTGCAAACTTGTTCTATTATTTTTTTTAAAAAAGAAAACACACTGAATTACTCAGGAGGTAAAGAAAGTTCTTTGATTAGCCATAGTCAACACTAAGCACTGCTTTTTAGAGCAACAGGTTAATAAATTACATTTACAATTAAATCCTTCAGTATTGGAAGGGAACAAATTTATAATTATGTTAATCACACAATATTTCCAAAATCATAAAAAAATCTTCAAAATAAAACATAGTTTTTAAAATAATCATTTATCTTGTTACTTTGTATGTCTTTGTCTTCCATGTAGCTATTCCTATATTATGTGCAAACAAATTAATATTTTATTCATTTGAAAAGAATTTAAAATTCCCATTATGGAGACAGCAACAAATTTATAAGAAATGGATACCTCTTCTTAAGCTGTTAAGAAAAATAACATAAAAAATGAATTAGTTAAGTAATAAAATAGAGAACTGAATATTAAAACGAATAGCTCACAACTCTAAATGATACAGAAGTATCTAAAAAGAACAAGTCAGCAGATACTGCAATTGTGCATGAAAAGGATACTGTGGAAGAGCAGAAAATTGCTCTGTAAGGAAGCAGGTATCAGAGAAAGGACTATGAAATAAAATGAAGCATCATGAATAGGATTGCAGATGAAATTTTAAAGATGTGGTGACAGTGAGACACGCTGTCCAACATTGAAAAGCCATGCTAAGAAGAAAGGAGGAATACAGCTACATTTGGAAAGTAGGAGTATATTAAGGAAAGCCTGGTATTTTATGTAACTGTGAAATACATCCAGGTGATAGAGAATTATTGGACAATTTTCAGAGGGGGAAGACATGACAATAAACTTTTTTTTGTTTAAGAAAGAATAATTGGGTAGCAAAATAGGAGATGGAAAATAAGTAATCCCAGGAGACAGAGAAACCATTTAAGGGGTCAATGCCACCAAAATAATGACAACAGCTATGAGCACGAAAAGAAAATCCATTTATTGAAGAGAGATTCTTTTCCCCAATGTATATTTTTGTCAGCTTTATCAAAGATTAGATTGCTGTATACTGATGGTTTCATCTCTGGTATCTCAGATCTATTCCAGATATCTATGTTTCTGTTCTTGTGCCAGTACCAGGCTGATTTAACTATTATTGCTTTATAGTACTGCTTGAAGTCAGGAAGACTGATGCCTCCCAGTTTGTTCTTTTTATTTAAGATTGCTTTGGCTATACGAGGTTTTTTTCTGGTTCCATACGAAGTGAAGAATTATTTTTTCTAGATCTGTAAAGAATGCTGATGGTATTTTCATGGGGATTGCATTGATTCTGTAGATCACTTAGGTAATATTGACATTTTAACTATATTGATTCTACCAATCCATGAACAAGGTAGATTTTTCCATCTGTTTAAATCTTCTGCAATTTAGAATCTCTCTTCAATAAATGGTGCTGGGAAAACTGGTTAGCTACATGCAGAAGAGCAAATCAGGATCCCTACCTCTCACTTCTCACAAAAATTCACTCTAGATGGATAACAGACTTAAACTTAAGACATGAAACCTTAAGAATCCTAGAAGAAGATGTTGGGAAAACCCTATCAGACATTGGCCTAGGCAAAGAATTTTTGAGGAAGACCCCCAAGGCAATCACCGCAGCATCAAAAATAAACAAATGGGATATGATCAAATTAAAAAGTTTCTGCACAGCCAAGGAAACCATCAGTAGAGCAAATAGACAACCCACAGAGTGGGAGAAAATATTTGCTCTCTACACCTCTGATGAAGGCCTAATAACAAGAACCTATCTAGAACTTAAAAAAATTAACAAGAAAAAATCAAACAATCCCATCAAGAAATGGGCAATGAAAATGAAAAGAAATTCTCCAAAGAAGACAGAATAATGGCATGCAAACATATAAAGAAATGCTCAACTTTTCTAATTATTAGAGAAATGCAAATCAAAACCACAATGAGATACCACCTAACCCCAGTAAGAATGGCCTATATCAAGAAATCCCAAAACAACAAATGCTGCCGAGGATGCAGAGAGACAGGAACACTCCTACACTTCTGGTGGGACTGCAAATTAGTGCAACCTTTGTGGAAAAGAATTTGGAGATACCTCAAACAGCTAGAAATAGAAATACTATTCAACCCTGCAATAGCATTGTTAGGCATCTACCCAAAAGAGCATAAGACATTCTATTATAAAGACATCAGCACCCGAATGTTTATAGCAGCACAATTCACTATTGCACGGTCATGGAAACAACCCAAGTGCCCATCAATTCATGAGTGGATAATTAAAATGTGGTATATGCTCACAATGGAATATTACTCAATCCTAAGAAATGACAGTGAGCTAGCACCATTTATGCTATCCTGGATTAAGCTTAAGCCCATTATCCAAAGTGAAGCGACACAAGACATGGAAAATGGGCTCCACATCTACTCGCCATCAAATTGGTACTGACTGATTTAAACTTCGGTTTTCAAATGGTGGCAATGCTCACCAGAGATTCGGTGGTGGGGGGGGGAGGGCCCAATCTTAGGGAGTGGGAGGGCATAACTCTAACCCTTCTTAGGGAGAGGCAAAGAAATACAATGTAACCAAAATGTTAAAAAAAAAACAAAACTTTTTAGCAGGTGGTGGACAGGCGGGAGTGGGGAGGAGGAAAGGGCCGTATGCTTCCATAATGTGTGTGATGCACACCACCAGGGGATTGGACATATCGGGAGGAGGGAGGGGGCAGGGGCAATATTTGTAACCCTAACAATATTTGTACCTCCATAATATGATGAAATAAAAGAAAAAAAAAAGAAAATCCAGAGAACAGAGATATTCAAGAGAGGAAATGAAAAGATTTAGTGATATTAGACATCAAGGATGTGGAAGAGTATGATAGGAAAAAATATTGATAATCTCTAGGTTTTAAGAATAAAAACCAATGACTATCAGTGATGATAGTTACTGATATCATCACTGATATCACATAGGGTGTAGATATTATGTAATATCTCAAGTGTTTAGGAATATACACATATTTAGCTATACACAGTGACCAGGCTACACTTAGGTGATAGATGCATTTCTAAGCCCTATATTTTAATAAAAATAATGTTGAGTCAAATTTTTCAGAATCAGAGAAAAATGGAAACAAAACTGCATTAGGTAGGTGTCGTGGGCTGAATTATGTTTTCCTAAAATTCATATGTTGAAGCTCTAACTCTTGGTGCCTCAAATTGTGACTGTTTTGGAGATAGGGCCTTTAAAGAGGTAATTAAGTTAAATGAGGCCATTAGGCTAGGCCCTGACATAAACTGACTGATATCCTTGTAAGAAGAGCAAATTTGGACCCATGAGACACCAAGAATGTGCCCTCACAGAGGAAAGATCATGTGAGGACATGAAGAGAGGGAGGTGTTGGGCAAGCCAAGGAGAGAGGCCTCAGAAGAAAGCAGACCTGTCATGCCTTGATCTCTAACATCCAGCCTCCAGAACTATGAGGAAATAAATTTCTGTTATTTAAGCCACTCAGTCTGTGGCATTTTGTTATGACATTTGTACAAACGAACTTGATAAAATACTAAATAATACTTGTATAACAACCATCAGAGATATTAGTAGGCAGCTTGAGATTAAACTAATGGTTCTTGGCTAGTTTCTGCCAAGGTTTTATATGTAATACAAAATCATACAAAAAGAGGATAATATTGTGACAGTATCTTTCAGATGGAAAACTAGTTGAAAATGTAATGTGCAGTCAGGTATTGCCTGTTTCAAATCAGAGATTAGCATAACATAAAAATGAAGCTTGTGTATTCCCCAGAACAAATAAGAACCTTGATATTTGAGTCATTTTTATTTTTTTTTAATTTGATCATTATAAAACTTATTTTTACAAAAATAATAAAGCAGCACTAAAAGTCAGTCTAGTGAAGAATGAGAAAAATGGTGTGCTGTCAAAATACACTAAATACAAGTCTAATGCAACCACATAAAATTTGAAGGCCTACACTTTCAGTTATAGAGACCTCACTCACTACCTCACAATGTATACGATACACAACAATTGAGATTGGTACAAAGGTGCTTTCTCTAGTGAACAGAAATTACTCACCCTAGTATCCACATCTATATGAACTAGAAAAGTACATGCTCAACAAAGAAAATATTATTTTACCATATAGTAATGATCTTAAAACAAGAAAACTTATCTAAATTTTCCTTCATCTGAGTCAAATCTCTATAATTTCCTCAAGCTTTCCACCAGATTTTTACCACTTTATCAATAATAATTTAGGGTCAATAAATGAATACAATTTTTTAGTTATTTCACCCCATGACACTTTTGTTGTCCCTGTCAATAAACACAACCTAATTATGCCTTGTCAATGTATTAACCAATACTGAGATTTTTGTGTCAACTATAAATCCCACATCTTTTCCACATAAGCTAATATTATATTAAATCATGAATTTGCATCCAGCATTTTAATAGTTTTCTAAAACTATTGTATTCATCTCTGCTAAATTTAATCCAACAATGTCAACAGCTGCATTAAAATTCAAGATATCTCCATAAATTGGAATGAAAAACCAAAATTATTATCTATTTATCCTAATTTTATGTCAGCAACATATATAATTTTTATACTATTTTTATTTTAGTCACTGATTAAATGGTGGACTGCATAGCACCAAACAATCTTCTAAGCCCAAATTATCTAGATTTAGGTTTATTATTATTTAATTTATTATCATAATCAACTATATATGAAACAATCAAAATTCAGCTGACATTTTTTTATCAAATATAAACATAGCATTTATGATATGGTATTAAAACAAACCCTTTTTAAAGTGTTAGATGGTAAAAAAACTTGGAAAAGGAGATTGCATTTTATTGCAATTTTTGTGCACATATATTTTCATAGACATTGGGCACATAATTTGCATATTCACATAGCTCTGCATTAGATAGTTCTTGCAATTTGCTGCATTAAAATATTTTTTCCAGGTAAATGTACACAGATGTTTCAAATAGCACATATCTTCTATCACATGAACATCAATTTTTGTTTTAATAAAATATATGCTATGTATTGTTTTATTTTAATTATTCTTTGGCAAAAAACCTACCGATGGAAGCTATCCACCATTTTTAAATGGACACGGAGATCTTTTTTTGTTAGGTGATCTAACATTCTTGCATCTACCAAGCATTCCATAAAGTAACTTCTGTATTGAGGTAACCCCAGGCTGGGAAGCCATTCATTTCCAATCCACTCGTGGTTCATATCTCCATAAGCCAGGGTCTGTAGAAAAACCGGACACTAGAATTGTTTTATAGCAGTCAAGTTTTTTAACCAATAAAATAAGATGGTAATTGAAGAATATTATCTATTATTATATAAACTAAATATATATAAACATATATGTATTTAGCTATATATATTATATAAATATAAATATAAACTTGTATTTAATTACTAGGATGTATGGAAAAAAAGCGGAAATAATATTTAGCCTGTATATAATTTGCTTTGGTACAAAATTTGTATATACTTATCCAAGTACTTGCCTATTGAAAATGATTGACTGTTCACTTTGTATTATCCAAAGGAATTATATTTTGTCCAACTATGTATTTTGTTAATAAAGAAATTAGAATTAAAGTTATATTAAAAATTCTGAGATTTAAGATTTTTTATATTGATAGGTTTATTTTAATTATTTATTTATAGCTGTCAGCTAATACTCCATTTCCATCTTAGCAAAGCCACTATTGCCATTGCTACAGTATAATGAATGAAAAGATTTGATGTGAAATAGAAACCTCAGTAAACAAATAAAGAAGGAAGCAATGAGGTTCAAGTACAGAACATCTATATGGACATTGTTGTTATCTAGCAAAGCATGCAGTCAGCATTCCATAAAGAACATTGGAAGGAATCAAAATCTTTTCTAGAAATTAATCAATATAAACTCTATCCTTAAAGAAGCAGGGCATGATCAAAAACTAACAGATAATCTAATTATTTAATATAGCAATATGAACTGATCTTTCTACCTACTGTTCAAAATAGCTAAAATGAAGATCTAAATCAACCATCAACAGGAAACCAGTTTTTAAAAAAATTATTACTCTCTACTAATTTTAGTTTCCTACATAGTTCCTTATCATACCCTAAATTGACAATTCTAACATACTTTTCTAGTGAAAATCTAGGTGCTCCCCTTTTTTGTGTGTATTCTTAAGAATGATGAAATTTTTACCAAAATCACATTCTAATGCAACTCTGTGTTACTGCAAATTTGAAAACAGGTCCTAATATAACTATCAAAGATTTTCTTATAGTGAAAGGTTTGAAGCACATTGAATATACCATGTGTTTATTTTTTAAGTTCTCCAACATGTGGAAATGTTGAAAAAATGCACAGCTTCCTTGAAAACATTTGTTTCTTCAAAGTAGAGACGCTTGTCTCATACGGTCATCTTAATAAATGGGAACAACTGTAACTGGTGTTCTGTAACAGTGACACTGCTGCTTCAACCCCCTCCTCTTACACTTTTCATTATACCTTTAAAGCACATGGAACTCCAAATAAGTCTTTTCTTTCTTTTTATTCCCCCTTAGATCCAACTTGAATGATTCCTGATTAAATATATTCAGAGAAATTTAAGTTACAGATCATTCTTTTGTGGGAAGAAAGAAAATTATCATTTTAAAAGAGGCCAAGTATGAAATGATAATCATCTTATTTGCAAAATATAACAATTAAAATGACATACAGTATTAAATATAATATAGATTTACAAATACATATCAGGCTAATATTTGAGCTAAGTGAAGATTTATATTATGATTTATAATAGCTTCTTAATTTATAGCATAGCCTACTAAATGATATTGTCTTAAAGCATTGAATTTCCTACCTGAGCCCAGCTTCCTTCCTCAGATTCTTTCTGTGTTAGCAGCAGGAAATGATTAATAAAGCAGGTAAATACAAATTCATTTCAAACGATTACAGTAAAAATTTTCTAGCAGAAGCAAAATTATTATACAAAATGTTAATTATTATGGTATAAGCAGATAAATACACAGATTCTTATTCAGATCCACAGTGATCAATTTTGAACTCAAGGACAACTACAAGATAACTACATAGTTTTAAATTAATTCTACTGTAAATTTTAAATTCATGATTTTTGTGAACATTTGGTCCGGTCACTCCAAAACTTTTTAATTCTTAAAAGTGTGTAATTTTCCAAATGTAATGTGTTATAATAAAAAATTCTGATTATATATGTAAATATATATACTATGAAAATCTTATATAAATTAAATTAATTCAGTGAAATCCCTCCAAGAAACTTGTCATAATCAAATAGATTTCAACAACAGCCAACAAACAAAACAAGACAGCAACCAAGTATAAGAAACCTAAACTAAAAATGAAATTAGTACATGACATGGGCATTTTTATCCATCATAAACTTGTAGATAATCAATTTTTCTAATAGGGATAAAACTGAAAGGACATTAAATTAGAAAGAAGTTGCTAAAGATAAAATGTATATTCTCAATTTTGTCACTTTACATGAAAAACGTCTAGATATAACACTATATTTTTAAAAGCTGACAATTAGAAGTTCTTGAGCACAATGCTTTAGAATACCAAAAAACATAGCATTTCTTTTTCTTTCTTTTCTTTTTTTTTTTTTTTTTTTTTTTGGTCAAGCTCTGTATTTCAGAGGGTAAAACACAAGAAATTACATGATTATATTAAAAATGAGCATTCAATCTAAGCTTTTCTAATACTGCTTTAATTTGGCTTAGAAACCCGTGTAGCTTATGCCCAACACCAAGTAATATGTGTTACAAAAGATTTCCAATGTTGCAAAATGGATAAGTTTCATTGAATTCTTGCTTAATGTTTGCATATCATAAACTCTTATGATATTAACTACATTGTGACAATCTAGCACTGCTTCATTTAAAAATGTCAAGTGAGGACAGTAAATTAAAACTGAATAAAAAGTTAGTTATTTTTGCATGTAACTATATGAGCATACCTTATTACTCTGGTCTATAATAAACAAATTAATTGCTTCATCCAAACCAGCAAAGTAACTTTTCTTCAAGTTCAACAAAGCCATAAAGACTAACCGTTTTTGCTGGAGCTGCAAGATTTTCCATTTCTTCGTGGGTCACCCAAACGTTGCCTGAAGGCTAGTGAGGAGGCGCAGAGGGAAGCAGTGGATCCGTGGGAGGTAAGCAGTGGTAAAGAAGAAAGGCAGCACCTCTGTAAGTTAGTTACCAGCATCACGGCCACACCACAGTGCCCTGCCTCTACAGTGTGCATGAGACAGAGAGCATGGCTGGTTTGCTCAGAATTTCATTTTTACCTTCTACTCAAAAGGTTATATAGAAAGAGGCATTCTGTGAAGCTCATGGGGGGGTAGATGACACTTTAAAATGACACTTCTGTGATTATTAATCAGAAAAAGGGCATGATTGAAATTTGCATTTCAAAGGTATATGGCTATCAGATCCATTTTTGTAAAAATGGAGAATTGATTAAAGTTGATCAGTAGAAGAATGTAATGTTACTGTTTACTTCAGAAAATGATGACACATGTATTTTGTTGCATTATTACCAAAATTTCTTTCATATAATTTTGATTCTTCAATGTCCTTGGATGGAGAAAATCAGTTATCAATACAAAGCTGTAAGCACTATCACAACCTGTCTGGAAACCAGCATCAGCTTTTCCCAAATAATTTCTTCCTTTTGCAATTTAGTAAATATGTTGTGTTCCTATATTCTTACAAATTAAAAAGAAGTGAAATGCTATTTTTTATTTATTAAAGGCATTCTTCATCCTCATTAAATACTGTCAAATTACGAAACCTATATAAGTTTTTCCAGGCACATCAATGTAATTTACATCCAATGTATTACTTGTTACTTGTTTGGGGAAGCGTTTAGTTTTAAAAACTTGAAAGCAGCAAAATTATTACCCAAACATCATAAAACATCACCATAATTCACTTGGAAATTTGTCTACCATTCACTTAGTATCATGATTGACTTTCCCTGTGTTATAGGTAATGTAATTCAACATAATTTAAAATGTAACTGCATATAAACTAAATTGGTGCTTATAATTTTATATAAATGAAATTGTGTGTGTGTATATGTATGTGTGTGTGTGTGTATACAAACAGTCATGTACCATATTATGTTGTTTTTGGTCAATGATAGGCTACATATACAACAATGGTCCCATAAGATTATAATGATGCTGAAAAATTTCTATCACCTACTGATGTAGTTAGCTATCATACCAGTGCAGTGCAACATATTACTCACTTGTTTGTGGTGATGCTGGTGTAAACAAACCTACTGCGCTACAAATCATATCAAAGTATAGCACATACAATTATGTGCAGCCATAACACTTAATAATGATAATAAATGACTATGCTACTGGTATATATATATATATATACACACTATATTATACTATACCTTTTTCTTATTATTTTATAGTGTACTCCTTCTACCTATAAAAAAAGTTAACTGTAAAATAGCCTCAGGCAAGTCCTTCAGGAGATATTCCAGAAGAAGGCATTGTTATCATTGGAGACTACAGCTCCATGTGTGTTGTTTCCCCTGAAGACCTTTCAGCGGGACAAGGTGTGGAAGTAGAAGACAGTGATATTAATGATCCTGATCCTGTGTAGGCCTAGGCTAATGTACAAGTTTGTGTATTAGTTTTTAACAAAAAAGTTGAAAAATTCAAAAACAACAGGAAAAAAAGAATAAGATATAAAGATATAGAAGAAGAATATAAATAAAGAAAATATTTTTGTGCAGCTATATAATGGATTTGTGTTTTAAGCTAAGTGTTATTAGGAAAGAGTCAAAATTTAAAAAATTGGAAGTTTATGCAGTAAAATAGTTACAGTAAGGTAACGCTAATTTAATTTTGAAGAAAAAGTAATTTTTATAAATTTAGTGTAGTCTAAATGTATAGTGTTTATACCTTGGTATATGATATTGTTCTAGGCCTTCTTCACATTCAGTTAGCACACACTCACTGACTCACCCAGAGAAACTTCCAGTCCTGAAAGCTCCATTCATACAGGTATACCATTTTTATTTTTAATACTATATTTTTTACTGCACCTTTTCTATGTTTAGATATGTTCAGATACACAAATACCATTGGGTTACAATTTTCTACAGTATTCAGTGCAGTAACATCCTGTACAGGTTTGTAGTGTAGGAGCAATAGGCTCTACCATATAACCTAATTGTGTAGTAGGATATAGCATGAAGGTTTGTGTAAGTACACTCTATCACATTCTCACAACACATCTTTCACAACTCATTTCTCAGGACATATCCCCATTGTTAAGCAACACATGTATATATATTTGAGTAACAAAGGAAGTTGGGTAGTAAAGATTAATAATTACAAATAAATTACATAGGCATAAAAGTTCCAAAGGTTAGGAATCAAATGTTTGTATACAATGCTCATATGTCTACTACTTTGGAACTCAGAGTATAGCCAAGTTTTTTCCTATATGATAAATCTGTGCACACCCTTAAATTAATTTAGAATGCAAAAGCCCTCTGTGTCATTGAAAGCCCCTGTCCTCTACTCCTGGCTTCTAAGAATGGAGCTCATGATAAACAGAAAGTTGCAAATGAATAGATAAAACATTAAATCACTTGGAGGAAATTGTTTATATTGACTTTGGGAAGAATGTACTATGTTAAAAAGCACCTTATGCTCATCCGTCACATTTCCTTTACATCCAATGATCACAGTGCTTTGACTAAGCAGCTGTACTATTTGTTCAAAGTCAGTTTCCATAATGATTACCTGAGGGGAAATTCATCTAAGCCATGAATGACTTAAATGACTTAAGATTGCAAGACAGTGAAAAATCAATTTTACAATAATGTCTGTAGCTTTTACTTTGACTCTGAATCCAAATAATGAATATCTAACTCCATCCATAAGAAACCACCAGTATTATCTCATATGGGAATAGATACATGCAATATATCTTTCACAGGTTATTTTTAAATCCATGTTTGCTGATCTGTCAGCAGATTCTGTGACACAGAAGATACTGTAAGCTATGGTTTTATCTGTATCTTTACTTGCAAAATGAGTATATATCCAGGACAATTTTCCATACTATGATTGGCAAACTTTCAGAAGTTGTATGTTGGTTGCTTATGTTTGATGTGCAGTTTTAGTTGTGAAGAGCATTGCTGGCCCTATAATCTTGTAAAGTAACCCACAAAATAGCTTCCACACAACCCAAACAAGTAGACATTGGTTGAGATTTTAACAAGTTTATTTTATAAGCAAGCCCATATGTAGTAAGTCAATTATTCAATTAGACTGTTTTCTTTCCACTGTCAGTTTAGGGGATGGAACTTTCACCTGGGTGAGTCATGAAGGAAGACTTGAAAGTGTTTTGAAGAAGGGCAACCCTAGGAGAATCACTAGGGGTGGGAGGCTTTGAGCAATCAATCAAAGGACACAAGGACACTAGTGCCTTGGGACCAAGGATAAAGAGAGTGCAAAAAGTAGGTTGGAAAAGGATAATGGATAAACATCACATAACCTGGTCATGGTCCTCTAAGAGCCCCTTAAAATCTCCTCAATGCCCTTGGCAGTCTGTGTTGCAACCTCTTCACAATGTCTGAGCTGGAAAACGCAAACTGATAGTCATTATTTGTGGCTAATATTGTCTGAGTCTAATAGGTGACTTATAAAATTTCAATTATATTAATAATTACCAAATTATAATCAGGAGGCTTGAATTATAGCAGTGCCACTTTCCAGCAACTACCTTAAGATATTTCCTCAACCTCTCTTAAATTTCAAATTCTACACCTCTTAAGTGGGAATAAAAGCACATGCTTCGTATTAGAAAAAAATACTGAAAAGTTTATATTATATAATATGTTCTAAGACATGGCTGGGACCAGGACCAGGCAAGTCCCAGAAGGCTGCATTTAAGGAAGCACTGGCTTTCAGGGTCATGCAAGTGCAGGTCAATACCTGACAATGAGCACCTCCTTAAATTTTGTGCTTATGATGCCTTGCTAGCCTCCTCTTGATTCAGATGGAATAGAATATTTAAAAAGTATAATCAGCTGAGAACTGAGAAGAAAATTTATGAAGGATGTTAATAATTAAAGCACTTACCTAATTAAGTCACTTTAGAAAGAGTTATGTCAGAAAAATAAATATTAAAATGAACATAATAAATAATATATGAAAATTAATCAGGGGAAAATAATTAGTTCTCTTGCTATCAGAGAGGCAGGGATACCTAAAGCAGCCAGAATAATCCTAAATTTTACCTAGGTCAAAGTAACTTTTGTTACTACCTACCTAGATCATTTTGAAGCATTTTTTTCTTTATAATTAAATTATTAATACAAAATAGTAACTTGAAATTTACTTTTACATTCAAATGGTCTGGATCCATATTTTTCCCCATCTGAATTTTTGTTTCTCATTATAAGAGAAATAATTCCCATTATAATAAGACTGGTATTTATACAATTATACCTCACCCAATTTCCACTAAATGTTGAGGCTTATGAGGTAAGTAATAATGAAAAGAGGATCCAAAACAGACTAAAAAAATGCTTGAAAAAAGAAGGGAAACTGATAAAGTGCAGAAAGCAGAAACAGGAGAATGTCCTTGTTGAGACTCTGGTTAAAACCACATGGGATGTGACCTTAAATATATCACTTTACTTCTCTACACTGGTTTTCTCCATCTGTGAAACAGATAGAATAAAAATACCTAATAGCATGGTTGTGAAGCTTACATGTTTTATCACATGTAAAGCAGTTAGAATGGTGCCTGACAGTAAGCACTCACCAAAGTTAGCTACTACTGTTATTTTATTAGACATTCTGTTAAGTCACCTCCACCCAAGAAAATCTTTAATTTAATAAATACTCTTAATTTCCTCTGTACACCATGCTGACGAATGCCTATCTTATGTCTTACATTTCTGCTCAAACTTGTTGAATTATATAGTTACTCAAGATTTTGTTTCAAACCTACTTATTTCCATTGTACTAGCTTTGTTAAAATTTGATTAGGCAATTTAAATAAATATTACATAAAGCAAAAAATAAAAGAAATTTGGCTCATGTATGAACACTAAATTGAATTATCTGGAAAGACCAGGTAAAAGCAAATCATAAAACATTCTGTCAATGAAACATAATTTTGTCAATCTGGAGAAGAAATTGTAAATGTCCAGAAATAATCTTTACTCAAATAGCTTTTGAATAGATCTTGAAGTCATCACTTTAAAAAGAAATCCAAACTAGAAAAATTAAAGATGTTTTATGGATGATGTTTCCAAAGAAAGATAATGTGGAACTCCAGATGTTGGAAACATACTTAAAGAAAAGCTCTAAGTGCCTCATCTAACTTTTGCAAATGCCTGAATATTTACACAATTTTACTTAGGGTAAAGTATTTTAAGAATGTACTTAATTTTAATGACATCCTTCTTCAACCAAATATCAATTAATGGACATTTCCATTTCTACCCTAGTACATAAGAGGCTTTCTATAGTAATAGTATTTTGGAAAAAAGAAACAGAAAGCTGGAAGGTTAGGACTTGCCCAAAGAAAAAATAAATGTGATCTTTAGATTTTCCTTTTGCTGATCCAGTATATTTTATATACACAGGAAAGGAGGTAGAATCAGACAGAAGTTCTAGTAGTTTAAAAAGGAAAAAAAAAAAAAAAAGTAGGTACCCTGTCTTTTTCTCCTGAGTACTTGAGTCAATGAAAAAATATACCTGGCTGAGGAACCCAAACCCAAACCTTAATGTACATAATATTTATATGATCAGAACAAATTGCAGTGTTCTAGGAGACATAACATTTTTTTTAAAGGGCATAAAAAATTTGCCTTTGAGCCATGCATGGTGGCTCACTCCTGTAATCCTAGCACTTTGGGAGGCCAAGGGAGGAGGATTGCTTGAAGCCAGTAGTTCAAGACCAGCCTGAGCAAGAGTGAGTTTCCACCCAGTCTCTACAAAAAATAGAAAAATTAGTTAGGCATGGTGGTATAAGCCTGCAGTCCCAGCTACTCAGGAGGGGGAGGTAGGAGGATCACTTGAGTACCAGGAGTTTGAGGTTGCAGTGAGCTATGATGACACCACTGTGCTCTTCTCCAGGTGAGAGAGGGAGGCCATCTTTTCCCAAAAAACCCTAATATATAATGTTAGGCTATGAATTTAATACCTGTTAATTTTCATTTTATGCAGTAGATTCATTAATATAATTTTTTATGAAATATTTGTTTTGCAAAGCAAATCCATAATAGAAATATATTAGAAATGACTAAATGTTTCCATGTAGGTGGAGTAAAAGGAAAAAGAAACATTTAGTCGATCACTTTTAAAGCACTAGAGATACAATTTAACTTCTCTTTTATGTAACTTACATCAGTATTTTGCAAAAGGGATATATTCTCTGCAAATAAAGAGCTTTTACACATTCGTAAAAGGATAAATATTTCCATAATCCTACAGAAAAACTGAAAAGGTTATGAATAGGTAATTAATATAAATGCTAGATCAATAAGAACATAAAAATTTTTTAATATTACTAGTAATTTTAAAAATTTAAGCAATGAGATAATCACTGTTACAGAGAGAGGTAACACAATACAATTTGGCGACTAAGGTTTAAAAGTATTAAGAATATGAATGCCCTATATACAAATATTACAATGGAAATAACCAGAGTTTATGCAACAATATAACTACACACACATATTTAACACACAATGAAAATTGTTAAATAAGCAATATGTCCAATAGTAGGGATTTGGTTAAATACACTTCCCAAAATGAGATGTGCATCAATTAAAAGTGATGCTGTAATCACATGTTTAATAAAATGAGGAGAATGCTCATGCTATATGAATAAGTTTCACAAAAATGTACACAATAATATATTATATTAAATAATCCATCTTTATAAAAAGGTAAAGACAAAAGACTGGAAAAATCTCTATCAAAAGGTTAATAGTGAAAAAAATTATTGATTATTTCTGGGAGTCATTTTTATTATTTTAAATTTTTTTATTATTATCTTTGTATTTTTCTCTATTTAACAAATATTATACAGGATCATGTATTAATTTAGTAAACAAATATAAAAATTACATGCTATAACCAATATATATTCTGTCCTTCAAATGTTAATTTCTTTTTGATGCCTTATCCAACCATATGTTAGTCATAACCCAATATTATATATTAGGATACATACTTATAAAATACAGAAACACATTTTTATGCTTTTTTTCTTTCAAGAAATGCTATGTTTCATAGAACACTGCAATTTGTTCTGATCATACAAACCTTTTTTATACATTAAATTTTAGATTTGGGTTCCTCAGCCAGGTGTATCTTGATCAATGACTCGTGTATGCAGGAGAAAAAGACAGGGTATATGGGCTTTTTTTGTTTTGTTTTGTTAGCTAGTTTCTTTTTTCTTGAAACTCCACAGCATTTTGATTGTATTTCACATTTAGGAGTTAAATTATATCATCTGGTCAACATGCCTTACTGCCCTTAGTAAAATTTCTCTCACTGAACTTAGGGCCATACAAATTTCATGACCTGTGCAATGGTGGGTAGAGTGACTTAATGATTATTTTTAAGAGGAATATTCTCAGATTATCTACAAATTGCCAGGCATTGAGTTAAGGCCTGAGTCCTATGGAATCTTGATTCTATCCTTATCTGGTCTAGTGTGAGATAAGTTAAGAAAAGAGAGAATTATAAAATGTTTTTTGCAAGTACATAGAGTGGTAACTCAGGAAGGGAAACAGACCCAGACTTTGGGGGGTTAACAAGAGCTTTTCAGAGGACAGAGATGAAGGAATCAATAAACAAAGGATGAGTTGGAAATATATGGTGAACCTAGAGAGGGAAGAATGTTCCAGGCAAAAGAAAGAGCAATTACAAAAGTTCATAATCAACCAAGGGCAAAGAAGTTTAGAAAATTAAAAGTAATTCTATATTGTTTGGATCCTGACTTGGGGGGATAAAGCCTCTGAGCTGAACTGAGGCTATATCATAAAGTGTCCAGTAAGTTCTTTTTACTTACGCCTGTTCTTTAAACAACTGAGTGGACTCTTACCCTTAGTATTCTGTAATTTAAATTCCTTCAGTTTGGTCAAACATTTTTAGAAAAATAGTGCTCAATTTTTTGATTTTCCATTAAGAAATGGACTATACTGCTAAATAAAAATGAAAGTATAACCTATTTTTTATCTGGAAGTTGAGACCTCAAGTACTCTTATTTTGCAAGGTTCAGAATCTTTAATGTTTTTGTTTGCATTTACTCTTGGGAGGAAAATGTTGATATAAACCAATTGTGATGCTTATCTTTCTGCTAGAAATTATTTAGGAAACTCTTCATCATATCTGAATTCAATTTACAATAACTATTTTAATGGCCTGCTCAGTTTTTATTTTAAAGCTGACCCTTTGACAACACTGGCTTGAATTGCATGTACACACTTATACACAGATTTTCTTTTGCCTGTGCCAACCCTAAAACAGCAACTCCAATCCCTCTTCTTTCTCCTTGTTAGCCTATTTAATACAAAGAGGATGAGAGTGAAAACCTTAATAATGATCCACTTCTATTTAATAAATAGGAAATATATTTTCCCTTCCTTTTGATTTTCTCAACATTTTCTTTTCTCTAGCTTACTTTATTATAAGGAGTATATAATATATAACATACAAAAATTTGTATTCATCGACTGTTTATGTTATTGGTAAGGCTTATGGGTGAACAGTAGGCCATTAGTAAAGTTTTGGAGGAAAAAGTTATAGTCATATTTTTGACTGTACAAGGGCCAGTGCCCCTAATTCCCATGTTGTTCAAGGGTCCACTGTATTTTGAATTGTCTTTTAGCTAGAGTATTGCTCCAGGAATAGTGAAGAACGTTTATATCTACCTAAAAATAATTTTATAGGTAAGAGTTGTTAAAGTTATATATTTTTCTACATGTTATTTAGGGGGAAGGTAAAATGGAATTGTGCAAGAAAGAAGCCTTTTAAATTTGACTGTGTATTTCTGGCATTAGAATCTAGTATATTGGGAAGGAAAATAAGTGTAAATAGAAATGAAGCAAATTCTTTAAAACTGTTTAAGGTCATATATAAAAAGATATGTTCACATTAGTTTTATGCCTGAAAACTACAATAAAGAAATATCACTTCTTAATCTTTTACACACTACTCAAATTTATCTCATTCTCCCACATCTTATTATGCTGTATAAGACATGAGATCAGGAAAATCCAGTTAACATCAGAAATAATATCCTTTATCAGCAAAATGTATAATTCGTGAATGGAATAAAGAAAGAATGAAATATTATTTGAGAGGTATTTTTGTATTTAAATTTGTCATCATGAATGCCTTTTTCTTCTCATTTTATTCATTCTTAAAATTAGGATAGGGTAAAATTATGAGAGGATTAGGTATTTATAAATGAAAAGCAAACAGATTTTGAAGGGAAGATACTCCAGATATTCCATTTGGTATTTATGAACATCAAAATTCATGTAATTTCATGAGTACAAAAACTTTTAAAAAGTAGCCAGTTATGCCCTGCATCTTTAGAAAGTACTAATGCTTACAGATCATCTCCTGAGAAATTACTGGATTGCATTTTAGAAAGAAAGAAAGAAAAGAATATGCTAGAAAATAATAAACTTGGATTCTTGCTGCTTGGGAGAAAAACCTAACTTCTAGTCCAGATGCTAGCTCTAAAGTCTGCTATGCCAGCCTTACAGTTGATATGAACCACAGCTCCTCAACTGAAAACCTATTAAAAGTAGCAGCAAGGTTAATGAAGAGCAATCTAAATCTCTTCAGAATAATTCATGCTGACGTTGAAATGTGCACTGCCACAATGTTGCTCTGTGGACTTAGACATGCTGCTACTTGCCCAGCATTGGGGAAGGGAAGGAGCACAAATTGACTCACAGTTCGGGATGTCGGAGGAGCTGAAGGACTTGTCAGGGAAACCATCTCCTGGATTGCTAATCGGAGTTTTAAGCGATGCAGTGGATTGCTGATTCCAATTTCTCTCTGGATCTCAGTGTCAGATAAAGCAGACATGATGGCACCACTCTTCACGTTGGCTCGGCAGGCTGCCACGTACCAAGCAGGCATTCCCAACCAGAGCTGTTGGACAAGAAAAAAATACATTCATGGATTATAATAAAAGTTAACATTTTAGTGCCTCACATGCTGTGAATTATTGTAAGTACCTTATTTCCATGACTTCATATATTGCTCACAACCCCATAAGATAAATGTTATTATTATTTTCCCCAGAGGTGGTAGGTGCACAAAGGCATTAAGTAATATGTTCAAAAACATCAGGTAGGCAATGATGGAATCAAGATCTGAAATTGAAACATTCTGGCTCCAGAGACTTCATTTTAGCACTAATTTATATTAATACGAGATAAAAGTAATAGCGGCACAGTGCCAAGCTCCCCCTTGTATATAAGGAGAAGAACAGCTACAAGCAATATTTAGTAAGAGGCCCAATCAATATTTGTTTATTGAATGCCTTCAATTCATAATTCTCCTTTGGAATTCTGAATGCAGAGAAATTCTGTCACAGAAAGAGATGGCTATGCCATTTCCAATCGTGATTTTGATCAAAGCATACAATGTAGCTAAACCACGTTTCCACCTACCTTCTTGTGTGAACTTAACTAGATACTGTATATGAAAATACTTTTTGGAACATGAATGGTGTAATAATGAAAGAGACTAAAGTTAGAGTCATCTAGAAAACTAGCTATAGAGAAATTAATGCACCATAAATTGAAGATTCTGATATTTCAACTTTGCTGTTAGACTCTTGAAAGACAACTGAATCAGCGGTGCTATGCACGTGACATGGTGTCTGGTGCTCATCTTAAGCCCTGAGTAACTGCCAGCTCACATGCCTTATATTGTCGCATCCGAGTTACATAAACCTAAAAGAGAAATATTCTCTCCATTTTGCCCCATCATTAGCTATGGGTAAGAAGCAACATAAAAATTAGCAATTTAAATTTTTATTTTTAAATATCCAAAATATTGATTTCTTTTTTGCTATTTTATTTGTTAAAATAAACAGATTGAGCAAAGGAGAGAGTGTGTGAGAATGAGAAAAAGTAAGTGAGATAAAGATGAAAAACTATAAATCAGCAAAATATAAAGCCACTAGCTTTGGACCATGAATCAGAAGCCCTGGGCTCTAATTTCTTCCCTGTCATTGGTGAGTCATGTTATTCATCTAAACTTCAGCTTTATTTTCCTCATTTATATAGTGGAGGCATCAAGCTTTATTATTTCTAAGACATCATGTTAGACAGCCGCTGAGATGACTTGCAGTGATCCTCACCTCCCAACATCCAGCCCTTTGCATAATCTCCTTTCTTTGAGGGTAGACTGGACCCAGTGACTTATTTCTAATGAATAGCTGATGTTAAACGTATAGGATGTCACTTTCCAGAGTAGGCTACAAAAAGACTGTAGCTTCATTCTTGCCAGTCCTCTCCTACTCTCTCCTTCTCTCGGAGCTCTCACTCTGAGGGAAGCCAGCTACCATATTGTGAGTAGCTCCATGGAGAGTCCCATATGACAAGGAATTAATGTTTCCTGCCAACACTAGGAAAAATAAACTGAATCGTGACTGTGATCACATAAATGAGCACAGAGGTGGATTCTCCCCAAGTCAAGCTTTGAGATGATTGTTTCCCTACCTAACACCTTGATGATAGCGCTGTGAGAGACCCCGAGCAGAAGAAGCCATTGCTAACCTATGCCCAGATTCCTGACCCCTAGAAGCTATGATGTAATAAATGCCAAGTTTAGAGGTGATTTGTTATACAACAATAGATAACTAATACAGACATCCTTTTAGTTTAAATTTTGCAATACTAAAAGACTACTTGTCTTTTATAGAAGAAAAATGCAAACAAACAAAAAGCACATCTTTGAGTCAATGTGGCCTGGGCTGTGACTGAGATAGGAGGAAGCAGAGAGGAAATCCAAGTACAGTGTGTGACTGTACAGTTTATGCTTTCTTCCAGCAGGTTAGACACTAAGAGTTGACCCTACCTTGACAGGCACATTAGATATGACAGAAGATGGGCCATGACTTTTTAGTTTATAAACTCAAACTGTTCAAAATAACTAAACATCTTAATATATCTTCAATGGACCCTAATGATTTTCCATCTCTGTCTTCTAACATATTTGGATTTCCACATGGGTTAACATTACCCAAATGCCTGCCAACACATTGTTATCAATGTCATCCATGATTAGACTTTAAAGAGTTTTTGATGTGGATAAATGGTGTGTGAAGCATCAGACTCCCTCCCACACAACATTCTTAATAGGCTCTACATTCAAGGAGGTACTAAAGACGGTGGAGTTAAAGCTTTCACTTATTGTACCACCAGCCTCATTCATTTTGTTTCTTGCATTTTATAGCTTGAGTCACATTGGAATCACATTATGAGCAATTTCTGTGTGCTCAGGATAGGTTTAATTAGCACAGACTTCACTGCCTGTCATTTTCTAGCACCTTAATGTCAGTAAATCTGTATTTTTATCTGAAGGATTTGTTCATCATTTGCCAAAATAGCAGCTAACTCTCTGTCAAGCTGCAGCTCATTTTATTGGAGTGAAAACTGAACAAAGAACTGCTATGATTTCTGAGGTGTAATTTCTTAAGCATTTTGTCTTGTGATTGATTTTTAAAATATAGTAATTTTAAAGACATGGTTGGAAGAAACAGCTCTGATCTCTTATATGCTTAAATTTCCCTGATTGATATGAAAGAATAAAATAAAAGCAAGACGCAGGTTTTCTTCAATAAGTTCAAGAAAAATGCAAAGCATGTTTTTACACCTATTTATATCAGTCTATTTTTAAACTAAGATGGGCTTTAATTTTTCTTTATTGATTACGTAGCTCTGGATATGATATGATAATTAAGTTAAGTGATTTTATAACCCCAGGCAATTTAAAGCAATGTGTGTAATTATCTTTCTCAGCCAAGAAAAGCCTACATTCTTCTTTGCCCTGACATGGACATATCCTAGCAGCCACTAAGCAGCCCACATAGGAGAAAAGAACAGAAGTGGCAGTGAATACTACTGATAAGTGCCACATAATAAAGAGCCCTTTGTGGACAAATATGTAGATCTCTCACTGTCAAAGTCTGTTTGTGCTACCTCCATCCTGTTCAGATATTGCCTTATTTTTCCAGAATATTATGTTGTGCAGGAAATACTGATTGTAGTTCTTGTTTCATTATAACATGCAGTTTGGACACAGAAGGGAATGAGGGGATAAGTCTTCTACTTTATCCCAAGGGTTCAAACCTAGCTGGTCCCTAGGCCTTAGAGAATTCGGTTGAGGAATTAAATTACAAGCAAATGAATGGCTCTCTGTACAATTAAGAGACCTTGATGTCTTAGATAACAGAAGTGTTAAATAGGGAGATGCCTTTTCTATGTAACCTTTTGATGAGGAAGGATCCTAGACTAATAGATGGGAACAGATGTTTTCCTGCAACAACAAAAGGTGGCTCAATCATTGTTTCTCCTCCTGCTCTAGACATAAAGAGGGTGGAATTTAGAGACACTTCTTCTTACACCACTGTATGTTTTCTTCTGCTAGTCACAAAAAATGTCAGAGTAAAATCACAATGCTCACTGGACTCTAGTAAAGCAAATATTACCTTTAGAAGCAATTCCAGGCTGCAGGGAAGCTATAATTTCAGAGATCTGTCTTTGCCTACCTCTAACAACAATCAAATTAGTAGTGACTGACTTAAGTGCCTTCTGGTTTAATTCTCTTACCTCTAGCCATGCGACCACAGTGGGCCCATCCCACTGGGCAAAAGGTAATCCCTTTCTCCGAGCTTCTTCAAGAAGTTCATGCCTGAAGTATATAGCAAAGATTATTAGTGCGATAATATGGAAAAATATGGCTATGATTATATTTTATGATAATCTTTTAAAAAGAAGCAATTATCCTTTACATACTCAATATGAGAAAATACAGAATAACAGAATCCCTTCTTCCTTTGACTAATTTGTACAAATCACTCATTGATTTTATTAGGAGTGAAACATTAACATCTAAAAATAATTTTCCCCAACATTTACTCACTGAAATTAGAACGTTAAGTGCTAATGGACTAAGAAAACTGGATTATATTATCACCAAATATTTTATCCTCTTAACAAGAAAATGGCCTACATTTTCATATTCAAGCATACACAATGGGATATAAAAGTGACTTCCTCTATCTGTCCTGCTCTTTTCCTCTTACTATATCAATGGTGAAGAAAATGTTTGAATATAGAAGCAGAAGATAAATTTGGTCATTTTAGTCCCATTCTAGTGAAGTGATTGGTTTTAGTATGCCCTACAGGTCCAGGAATCTATCTTAGGAGTTAGTTCATTGTTTATACTATAAAACCACTGCACAATTGAATATAACTCCAAGATAAAATGATTTCTAACACTACAAAGCAATGTATAGTGTGAAATTCAACAATATACTTATTTTCATTTATAATCACTAGTGTTTGAATGAAAGCAATTTACTTCAATAACAATAAATGTTTGTTTTGGAAAACAAAAGATATAGAGAGCCCTGATAAATGCAACTACGATTTTATTATTCCTAATACAAGTCTTTAGAACTGCTATCCACTTATAAAACCAATTTAGGATCATTCATTATTGGGATAGCAGATATGTGTTTTCATTGAAACTCAAATTGCTATATACTTGGCCAGGAGTATATTGAAAAATACATTTTCTGTACCTCAATCTTACACACAAATGATAAAAACATGGTACAATAATTGCTTTATTTTGAATATGTATGTTTCATGCTTAGGAATATATCTTGAATATCATATATGAACTCCATTGAAGCATGTGATTACTTCCTACTATTAATCAATTATTTATTGTGGTAGACTACATTAATACATTAAGACACATAATCAAGAATGACTTTAAACACAGTTTTCTGTATTTTCAAGATGCTATCAAGGTGCATCAAAAACAGGAAGCAAGGGAGCAAAATAAAAATTGAAGTTATAGTGGCTGAAGAAACACAAGAATCAACTAACTGCTGTTTCATTTGAGGGATGGCAACAGTGAGTTCCACATGTAAGCTATTCAGCACCTGGGGAGGGGGACAGCGACACAGGTGCCTTAAATCCAAAGTGAGAAATAGAGGCACTTCCTCACATGACTTGCTCTACCGTCACCCATTCCCTAAGGCTTTCCAGTGATGTTTCTTCACTGAAAACAAGTTTCGCATAGCTTAGTCTCACTGTGACAGATATATTTATAGAAATGGATTGAATGATCAAAAAATAAATTATCAAGTACTTATTGGACACTTATTGTGAGCTGGGACTTGGGCTTGCTGTGGAAAATAGACATGGACCCAGATTCTCAGGAGATCCCTTGTTAGATAGACAAAACAAATGAAACTTCCAAAAATACAATACGATACAATACACAAACAGCTGATAAAACTGGGTGATGCACGTCCTGAATGTGGCTCACTACCTCATCTACTTTAATTCTTTACTCAAATGTTACCTTCTCTCTGGATGTCTCCCCCCTCTTCTTCCTCCAACTCCCACCAGGAATTTCTTAGCCCCATACTTTACTTTTCTGCATAGAATTCATCTTCTAACATAGTATATTATTTACTTTTCTGTCTATCATCTGGCTTTAGAATAAAAGCTCAAGGAGGATCTGTGTTTTCATATATTCGGTTCATATATGAATTGAAGTCTAGAACAAGGTTAGGCTCAGAAGAGGTTACTCATAAATAGTTGTGAATGTTGAATAACACGGCAATCAGTGTTCTATTTAGTTGCTTCTTGTTTTAGTAAATTGTGCACCATAATGTTATGTTTTAGTGGAGTTATTTTTTGTAGTACAAATACCTTTCTTTATTTTACCTTTTGATCATGTTCAAATTTTTAAGTTTTAAAGGCCAATTTTTTTGCTTATATCCTATCTCTCTTTGAGCTTTTTATTTCCCACTTTCTCAGAATAGTACTGATGCTAGCTGATTTCAAGAGTCTGATCTGGTTTGTTATTCCTGATGGGAATCTGGTTATGAGGAAATCCAATATGCTCAAATAGTTCTACTCTCTTTGAACAAAAAAAAAAAATCAATCATATGATTCTTTGAGAAATTATTGAGCTATCTGGCACCTGAGAAAGTTTTATTTTATTTGTGTTTTGTTTTGTTTAAATCACAAATTCTCATAATATAATTATGTTAGTGATAGTACTCTAAGAAAATGAAATAAGGAAACCCAGGTGCAATGGATTCTGCCCTTTAGTCCCCAACTGCTAGGACTGAATCTCAAGTAACCACTTTAGGGATGACAGCTTGAAACCGTGGAGAAACAGGTGAGACTGGAGGTGGATGGCTGAGTTTTATACCAGGACCATGTGCTACATGACAGTAACTCCAGACCTGCTTTTCCTTAACCCGAGGGAATTATCAATTATGTTTTTAAAAAAGCATTGGAATTCCCACAGCAATACTGCATTTAATTATTCTCAGTAATAAAATAGTCTACACCATAAAAAATCTATAAGAGGCATATATCTGAGTATGTTCTCTTGGGAGAGAAGCAATGTAAAAAAATAAAGCAATGTGAGTAATTCTGAAATAATTGGAAATCACCAAGTTTAATACATGATGATTTGTTAACATATTATTAGGGGTAGCATGCTTGTTCTCATCAGAAATTTTGGAGTAACTATCAGAAAAGAGTGATTTGGACTGTACAGAAAATACTATTAATAAATGAAAAACTGATTTGACACAACCACCAAGCACTTTGGATATACTGGTGTTCTCTGTTCAACCAGTCCATGTGTGGAAAGGGATTTGGTCTGGAATGTATTCTCTCTCTAGCTGAAATTCAGCCTCTTAAAGGTCAAGTGACATTTCCAGAATAAGACTGTGGCCACTTACTCCAGTACAAATTTGACTCTGAAAATTACTTTCTTTCTATTTAGGCCTAGAGAAACATGTTTGTTTTTCTTTCTTTTTCATTTTCAGACAATACAATATTTGATTATCTTTCCCAAAGGATCACTTACACATAACTATAGTTATGCATTTTAGTTTTAAGATTCAAAATTTAAGATTCTTATCTGCAAGAAAGAATGTTAATATCCTCAAAAGGCTTCAAACTCTTGTTACAGGTGGCAACCAGTTACTGTGACTAGAAAGTGACATGTTAGGAAAGCCCAACACATGTTGAGCACTCAGGTCTGTGAACATCTATCTGCAAGTCAATAATATGTGCAGAGGGAAGCCCATGCTTGCTATGCCCGATCTGAGAACAGGAACAAAGGGTGAGCATTCTAGAAATGACTATAATAAAAAATTTTTAGATAAACAATCAAGAGTGTTCCAAAAATGTAAATAAATCAAGAGTCCCTGCCAGACCTGTGGTTTCTAACTCCTAATACAGACTAATTACGCAAGTATGACTTTGCCTAAATGAATAAATACAATGAGAAATGTCTGGTTTCTCGTTTTAAAATTTTAAGTCTCTCCTTAACGATTAAAGTTGTGATCTAATTGGTGGTATTGGAAAGGACCTATAGCCTCCTCTCTTGCATTTTCAGGCTGTCTCTGCCACACTAAACAGTGTCCACATGCCTCCTTGCCTTGTCTCCACACTCTGTCTTGATTTCCAAGACTCAACAAAAGTGCTTCCTTTCTAAAGCCATCTTAACCTTGTCCCTGAGGAGATATTGACTCCTTCCATTTATAGGTCCATAGTTTTTGAGCTATATTTCTTACGGTATCATTAACATTTTATTGAATTTTTTGGCTTACAAATTGTTCTCCCCTATACTGTGGGCTTGAGAACAGGGACTATGTATGACCCTGTGGCTAACCAAGTTAATTAGGGAGTCAGTCATCTGATTTTTTATAGACCTACTATGTGCCACCTTTTTTCTTCAGCAAAGAAGAATAAAGCTAACTGAATCTCTGACCTCAAAGATCGTACATTCCACGAGGAAGAAAGATTTGTATAAACATATATAAATAAATAAACGAATTTGAGGCCTTGATATGTGCTCTGCAGAAGGTAAAATAGAGTAAGGCAGTAAGGCAGGAGTGACTGGGTACTACCTTGCCTATAGTGTTTCACTGAGGTCTCTTGGAAGAGGCAATCCTTGAGTTGACATGTGTTGTTGAAAAGTGGCAGGCAGTGGGGGCCGGTAGAAAAACGTTTCAAGCAGAAGAAACGTAATATCAATTTTCTGTGAAAGGAGTGGAATTGGATGTTTGAGTAAAAGAAAGAAAGAAAGGCCAGTATGGCTGGAATGAATTAAAGGCTGGGGGATCTGGGGGGTGGAGGGAGATGAAATTGGAGAGATAGGCAAGAGTAAAGCAAGATCATGTTGGGTCTTGAAGCTGAAGCAAAGAATTTATTCTAAATGCAATGAGTAACCATCAGAGGTTTTCAGCAAAGGAACATAATATAATTTGCACATTAGCAAGATCATTCTAACTGTTGAGTGTAGAATGGACTTGAGACAGGCCAGAGTTGTGAGTTAAGGATACAGTTTTCAAATAAAAGATGATGGTTGCTTGGCCTTGGGTTGTGACAGTAGAAATGGTGAGAGGTAGTTAGAAGAGGGATACAGGCATATAGAATATATTCAATAAATTTTAACTGATTGACTGAAATGCATCCCAAATACGCTTTTTATCAGCTATCTGTCCTTTGGATACTCAGTCTCTTTAAGGTTCAACTTCTTCATATTTGAAGATGATTATAAATTGATCTCAGCACAAGCTATAAGAATTGAATAAGATAATTCTTATAAAAGCACTTAGCAGCCAATAGATGTTCAATAGA